GGGCCATATTGACATATTCTGAAAAGAGGTAGCTCTTGTTCAGAAGTGATAGTCAAAATGGGAATATGGAAATGTTTTTCATATTGGGAGTTGGATTTTAAGAATCTATGAGAAAGTTAGAAACTTTTATGCAAGAAGGATATTTAAGGGAATGTACTTTGAATGTGAGACTTCGTTTCCATGGAATTGATCTCCACTGGAATACTTTGTAATGTCTGTTGCCAGGTCTCTGTGACATTTGTGCATAGTCATTGCAAGAGGAACAATGCATATGAGTTTAAAATCTAACATATTACAGTAAATGACAAGAATTTGATATCCTTACATTTACGGTAAGGATTTGGGATTGTGAAATGAGCATCATTGGAATCGTGTTCAATTAATCTACTTCACAAAGTAAGGATCATAGACAAACATAGTTTGCATACTTGGAGTACGACATGACTATTGTTTAGAAAACGAAGTGTACATGCTTGGAGCATGGGACAACTATTGTTTTAATTCAAGTGTTAAGTTGATAAATCGAAACAGAATAATGTGCAATCAATATGGTGATGAATAAAAGGTGTTTTATTTATATTCATAAGTGATGAGATCATATTGGATTCAATTATTCTTGTGTTTCACTTTGCATGTTTTGACTTCCATAATAACTAGGTTATTCTTTCCGAATGACTAAGTTATTCAAACTTCCACAGTCGGTCATACGTCGGAAGTAGGTATGAATTAAGACTGTCATGAATTGGGCTTGTAGATGACTAAAGGTGTTTAGCCATAGCAATGGTTGCTACAACATTCATGAGTGCTTAGAAGTTCTGAGTATTGGAATAAACCCACGCTCACTTGCATCACTTCATGGAATTTATCTCGAGTGATCGTGAGACGGTAATATCATATAAGTCTTCAAACCTAGAGATATGAGTTGTTGCCTATGAGTTGGTTATGCATTGATTGCACGAAAACGCATCAGTAACTTGATGTTATAAAACGTGCCTTTGTGTATAATTCAACAAGTAGTAGAAACAAGTATATGAGTCGAAGTTTATCTGTTCCTTCTAGTCCTTGGAGGATTAGAAGCGATATCTGGGCCCCTCGATGATTTTGTTTTGACCTATGTACCGGGCCCGGTCAGAACCTAATTGATGTGTTCAATTTAGTTCTATGTCAAACAAATCGGAAATCGGGAAACAAACTGCTGGACAATAAGTACGACGTTGTTCCATGTATTTGTCCGGCTGATATCTTGAGAACAGAGGGTTATATGATCACTTATCTAAAATGGCGCTTCATAGTTCAACAAAGTTTTGAGAGCTACGATTGTCGGTTGGTTCCTGAAGTCATATCTGCAAATATAGTTATTAGACTTATCCAAGTGGGAGACTGTTGGATAAGGTGTATAAGTCCATAACAATATTTGAGATGCACTTGACCCGACCCGGCATGGTCCATTTGGGTTGCACTTCACCCGAACAATTTGTATGGATAATCTTTTGAGAATAGTATGTTCATTATTTATTAATATATTATAAGTTATAATATATTAATATGAAATAATATTATTTAATTAGTATTGATCATAAATTAATTTAGAATTACATTGGTGATAAAAAAGGTGACTAATTAAATATGGGCTCTTGTATTTTATGTAGTGTGGGCTAATACTCATTTGGAATGGGCTTGGCATGCATGGGAGTCCATGGATAGTCCATGGAGCTTTTAACCCATGGATCCTTGGAAAGGAAGAGTCATGGGTATTAGGGTTTACATGGATGTAACCCTAATTCCCCACACTATATAAAGGAGTCTTTGGCACTTGATTTGGCACTAGTTGTGTGTGAACAAGAGTGGTGGCCGATTTCAAGAGTGTGCATTATTCTCTCAAGAGTTTTCCAAAGTTTGTGGTGATTTGTGATTTCCATTTGAGGCATCCACACTATTGGTGCTAGGCTCTCAAACTCCAAGCAATCAACCACCACTAAAAGGTATGTCATTCTACTAGTAATTTTATGATTCAAGTTCCCCATGCCATGCTAGTTAGGATGTAAACCTTGGAAATTCTTATTTGCATGTATTTTAGAGAAAACATAGATCTAATGTTTATAGGGTTTCATGTACACCATAGGAGTGTTAGAATGCTCAAATCCCATCAATTACATGGTACCAAAAGGAACATGCATGCCACAATATGCATCTATACAACATTAATTATATTCTTGTGGCGCTTATGCCATACTGGCTACATTTCATTCAGGTGCCTTATACTAGTCATAATATAAAATATAGTGACATGACACACATGATTGTAGAATATTTATTTTTTCTAAAAATTACAAAATATGAAAAATGATATGTTCTTGTGGTGCATATTGCGGTTGGTTTAAGAAAAAGATTGTGTTCTAAAATGGCATGAAATACCTATTGACCACTATTACGGAATTAGATAGAACTGTATTTGAACTGTTAAAGGACATTACTTATACAAGGTTTTAGCACTTGTATGCTCCGCTGCAACAATTTTCTTCAACACGTATTAGGGCATAATTCACGACTTGGCTCTTAAGTAGTGAATTCCAAGCATTTGTTTATTTAGGACTACTAGAGATAAGTTTGATAAGTCTTGTAAAGTAACATAACTATTATGTAGGCAAGTTGCTATTTTATTCATTGTATATCATTTGATGTATATATTGTAACATCCCAAAAAATTTAAAGACTAGTGTGTATGTGAATTTTAGTGTAAAAATGCAATATGGTCCAAAGTGACAAAAGTCATAAAATGTTTAATTTCCTTTGGTTGATACCTTCATATATGATGAAATGATATTTGAAAATTGTTTTATGATCATTAGAAGAGTTGAAGGTCATTGAAGAAAACAAGCCAACACAATTAAAATGCTAATCTACTCACTCACAGATCCTTTTGGTCTCTCTCTCTCTCAAGAAAAATGTCAATTTTGGTCGGTTGGATATCTAACAACTTTTAACTAAACTCTATATGGAAATATGTAAAGGTAATCTATTTAAGATTAATGTTCTCTAACATCAAAAGTTCATTCAGTCCAAATATATTGTTTAAAATATGATTGTATTTGTTGATATATTATAAATCTAATTAGATTTGTTATTTAAGATTAAAAATCTTTAAAATATCATTTTCCTTATTTTTGATTCGTTAGTTGTTATTGAATCAACCAATTCCCATCATGTTCGTCGTTTGAAAATAAAAATGATATAATTATAAAAATAAAAACCATGATAATTGTTACAAATTTAATATTTAAATATTGAATATTAAAATAAAATATATTAATTTGTCAACAATAATTAAATTTTAACAATAATTTGTATCTAAAAGATAAAATAAAATATTATTGAATAAATAGAAATATAATATGCATTATAACAAATACAAAATTCTTAAAATAAACCACTCATAAAAATCAAAACAGTTAGATATTGACCTAAAAATCTATCTCTAATAATAGAAAATATTATATACACTATATGATTGACTTTGTAAAAAACTTCCAATTGTTAAGTTGATAAACAATATTTTATGGGAAATCTCCAATAAAGTCTTAAAATTTTGGTCCGGTTTACGTTTTAGTCCTAAACTAATTTTTGTTTACGAAAAAGTCCTAAAAACCGGCAAAAGTATGCATTTTGACCCTTTTTGACCGGTTGGAACCGACAACAAATTAATTTGGGATTATTTCATAAACTGACCTAAAATATTGGGACTATTTCACAAAATGACCCAAAATATTCAAAAAAAATATTAGGACTTTTCTGCAAACAAAAACCTTATTATTATTATTATTATTAAAAATATAAACAAGTATACTAATTTTTAAATTCATTATTATTAATATTTTTAATAATGCATATAAATACACTTAAATAAAAAAAATATTAAAGAAATTATTTAAAGGTGAAGGTGGTGGTGATGTTAATGCTTTAAGCATTGAAATCATGAATATTTGCTTGCATGTCCTCACTTTGTATATGATCATTTCACATTTCTTATTATTGTTTTCAATTCAAAATATTAACACTTAACAATTTAAAAGAAGTTGCATATTTGTAAAATTGTGTATAAATAGTTTAAGATAAAAGGATTTATCATTTTGTATATAAATTTTTTTTAAGGTAGAATTATTTCTTTTCAAATCCAACAGATCCACAATAAATATTTACATTAGTGGCCCATATCAAAATTCGAAAGTATTAATTACAATATCTTGTTTAATAGAAAGTAATATGACTTGTTTTGCTTTATCACATTATATCTGCTATGTTTCCAAAAAACCACAAGGATAAAGTAATGAAAAAGAGCAACACACATGTTGGTAATTCAAATACTTACACACAAGACATACACGCAAATCACACGCTCACTATTTGTAAACAATTTGAAAAATCAGTAGCTTCTTTTAAATTGTTAAATGTTAATATTCTGAATTAAAAACAATAATAACAAATGTGAAATGACAATATACAAAGTTAGAATATACAAACAGACATTCTTGATTTGAATGCTTAAAGCATTACCATCTGCTCAACCTTCACCTTTATAAAATGTCTTTAATATTTTTTTTAATTTAAATGTATTTATATGTATTATTAATAATATTAATAATAACAAATTTAAAAAATAGTATACTTATTTATATTTTTAATATAATAATAGTAATAATAATAATAATAATAATAATAATAATAATAAAGTTTTTGTTTGCAGAAAAGCCCTAATATTTTTTGTTTTTGCAGAAAAGTCCTAATATTTTGGGTCAAATTTATGAAATAGTCCCAAATTAATTTGTTATCGGTTCTAACCAGTCAAAAAGGATCAAAATGCAAACTTTTGCCAGTTTTTAGGACTTTTTCGTAAACAAAAGTTAGTTTATGACTAAAACATAAACCGAACCAAAATTTTAGGACTATATTGGAGATTTCCCATATTTTATTAACGATGATCTTAAACTAACATAAACTGATAACGGGAAGATAAGTGCATCACTTTTTAACCACCAATAACGAGAACAGGAGAGCCAGCCATGGCTACTTTCCTCCCTACCTTCTCTACTCCAAACCCTCTCAGTTTCAGATCCAAATCACTACTTCTCCATTACAACAAACGGTTCACCGTCAAATGCAACGCAGCACCGCCTCCACCACTTCCTCCGGCGGTCCAGACATTTTGGAAATGGCTAAGTGACGAAAAGGTAGTATCCTCCAACTCTCCAGCGAAGCCCGGAATCGTCGCGGAAGGTCTAGGATTGGTTGCTCAGAGAGACATAGGTCGAAATGAAGTCGTTCTGGAGGTCCCGAAGAAGTTTTGGATTAATCCAGATACAGTTTCAGCTTCTGAAATCGGTAGGGTGTGTGATGGATTAAAGCCATGGATTTCGGTTGCTCTGTTTCTGATTAAGGAGAAGCTGAGAGAAGACGATGACTATTCTCCTTGGAGAAATTACATTAATATTCTTCCTGAGTATACTGATTCCACAATCTTCTGGTGAGTCTACCTTTTTCTTTCTCTAGCTGTTTTCTGAATTTTGGGGATTTTCTTCCACATCGCGTTCGGAAGTATTTTGGCGATGATAACTGATAAGTAGGCTGATTTTCTGATGCTTTTCCAGAACAGGTCAGAAGAGGAGCTCAGTGAGATTGAAGGTTGGTGAAATTATATCATAGCTTTATTCAACTCACCATATACTTTAGAATTGCTTCTTACTACTTAACCAAAGATAATGCGTTTATTTTTTCTTTCAAGATTACGTCCATACAAAACCTTGACTAAACTGAGTTTTCTCAGGAACCCAACTATTGAGCACAACATTGAGTGTCAAAGAATATGTGAAGAATGAGTTTCTGCAAGTCCAAGAGCAAGTGATTCTTCCAAACAAAAAACTTTTCCCTTCTCCAATTACACTCGATGATTTCATCTGGGCTTTTGGGATACTCAGATCGAGGGCATTCTCACGACTTCGTGGTCAAAATCTTGTCTTGATTCCAATAGCAGACTTGGTAAGCTCTAAAACTGTTCTTTTTCACAATATGGTTAATTTCCGAAAATGCCCTTCACAGCGTTCTTTCCTGACATATATATATATATATATATATATATATATATATATTATACATGGATGTCAGATCAATCATAGCCCTAGTATAACCAAAGAAGATTATGCATATGAGATCAAAGGGGCTGGCCTATTCTCCAGGGATCAAATATTCTCTTTGAGAAGTCCTATACCAGTCAAGGCTGGTCAACAGGTGAGTCAAACCTATTACATTCAAGATTCAAGTTTATATCAAGTTCTCCCACATGTTTTTAACAAAATGTATCCTTTTTATTGCGTTTATGCAGGTGTTGATCCAATATGATTTGAACAAAAGCAATGCGGAATTGGCACTAGACTATGGATTTATAGAATCGACAGTAGACAGAAATACATACACTTTAACACTACAGATCTCGGATTCAGACCCTTATTTTGATGATAAGTTAGATATAGCTGAAACTAATGGCACAAAAGCAGTTCAATATTTTGACATCACTTTAGGAAGACCACTTCCACCAAAAATGTTACCTTATTTAAGGCTTGTAGCACTTGGTGGCACCGATGCCTTCCTACTAGAATCTATTTTTAGAAACTCTGTGTGGGACCACCTTGAATTACCCGTTAGCCGTGACAACGAGGAGGTCATATGCCAAGTTGTACGCACTGCTTGCCGCTCTGCTCTTTCTAGCTATCGAACCACCATTGAAGAGGTACATTGTCATTGTCTGTCATGTCACATGTCACACTTTCATTGTCACTATCACTATCACTATCAGTGACACTGTCTGTCTCTGTCATGTCAGACTGTCATTGTTACTGTCATGGTCACTTATTGGAATTTTGGTTTGCAGGATGAGAAGTTGAAGGGAGGGGATATTAATCGGAGGGTTGAGATTGCAATTGCGATACGTGAGGGGGAGAAGAAGGTGTTGGGACATATAGATGGGATTTTTGAAGAGAGGGAAAAGGAGTTGGATGAATATGAATATTATCAAGAAAGGAGGCTTAGAGATCTTGGTTTAGTTGGAGAACAAGGAGACATAATTTTTTGGGAGCCAAAATGAGTTGTTTAGATTGGAATATTATTTATAAATTCAGAGGAATGTATAACTTTTATTTCATCGATTTTGGGAAATTTCTATTAATTATACGGTTTTATAATAATCGCATTTGTATAGAAAAAAAGAGTTAAACTCGATCAAAGTTTCAATTTATCAATTTGAGCTTATGGGTGTGTTTGGGTTAGCTTTTTTTTATCATAAAAGTGATTTTTAAAAAAAATGTTTATTAGCTTATAGCTTTTAGGAAAAGATGTTTTTAAAAAGTATATGGATAAGAAAAACTGCTTTTTAGGAGTAAAATGACTAAAAAGTGAAAAAGGTAGGATTTTCCAGCTTTTTAAAAGCTTTATTTTTTCTTATCCAAAAAACTGTTTTAAAAAGCGTTTTTTAAATACACAAACATTTTTTTAGCTTATTAACTTTTTGAAAAGTTAATAAGCTTTTTTCAAAAGTTATCCTAAACAACCACTATATATTTAAGTTGAAGGTTCTAATCATCTAATCATATATTTATGTAAAAGATATTAATTATATACCTATTATAAGTATTATATAGATTTTACTCTTAGTAATTGATACAATATATTCATTTAATTGCTCTTTATAATAGCAATTTCATAATAATTCTTTCAATAACAAACTGCCTCTGCATACGTACATACAATAACAATGACTTGCTATTTTATATCTTAAATTCCGAAAAAACATGTACACACACTAACAATGACATGCCATATTATTAACCTTAGGTATATAGTTTATGTAGTCTTTCTAATATATATATATATATATATATATATATATATATATATATATATATATATATATATATATATATATATATTATATATAGGCTTAGGTTATTCTATTCAAAGTAATTATTGTATTATTATATGCATAAATGTGGGCCAATCAAATTTACTTATTTTAAGAAAGTGATTAATATATATTATTTAATTAAATATAATTGAAAAATATCATCTTAATTAATTGCAAGGGTATTTTAGTCAATTAATATAGATTTAATAAAGGAAAATTGCATTTTTTAAGGGATCATAGATTCTATTAATTTTAAAAATCCGATTTTACAAATTATAATTCTTTTAATTCGGACATTCTGACAGAATATGTTTATGGGTATATTCAAAAATAAAAATATTCTTGAACCTATTTCTTGATCGTGACTTTAAAAACTTCTTGTAGAATAACAGATTCTTGAACAATCGATTGAAGAATAAAAACAAAAAATATATTATTTCTTATAGAATACGGGTAACAATTGTTAAGAATTACATTTATTGTTAAAGAATAAAACTAAAAAAACTTTCAAAACGGGAAAGAAAACATCAAAATCTAACAACGACAATAATACATTCTAAAAGAATAATGTTGCTAATAATCACTTTCAATTTTGTGGTCCGTTCTTCAAGCATCAACTTCTGTGATTCCAACAGAATTAGAATTCGTGATTCCATTCCTACAGAATTGATCACTATTTGGAATTTGTGATTCCAACAGAATTGGAATTTGTGATTCCAGCAGATCATGAGGAAAAATTGATCGACACCATGAAGATGATAAAGATATGAAACAAACCCATCAGGAAGTCTATACCCAATCCATCCACTTTTGAACCCTAGATATCCACCCGCTAGAATAATAAATATCATAGCACAAATGTTTGCAGTCGTGACGAGTGATTGCACGAAAGTGCTCTGTAACATTCAAATTTCATAAAACAAACATGTTTAACAACAGTTCCAACACAACTTAGTGAAGAAAAAAAAGATGTTTGGAAGAAAATGAAGGAATACCTCTTTGATTCCAACACATAATAGCCCTGTAACAATAAACACCAAGAAAGCTGCACAAGGGTCGACCACAATACAATCTAGAACAACCTAAAAGCTGCCAATGCCAAACTAGAATCAATAGTATGTTAATACTCATTACTCCATAGACTAGAATCAATAGTATGTTAATACTCATTTGCACAATTGATGTATAGAATTTTAGATAAAGAAATTGCAAAATATCAGAAAAGACGTACCCTGCAGAATTGGCTACAGTCCTAGAGATCTTCATCTTCTTCTTAGCGCCTTTATAAAGATCCTCCAAGCTACAAGGCAACAAATTCTCCACAGCAGGAGCCTTCCTGGCCGATGAACTCTCCCCACCGTTTGGAGCCCTAAAAGCCCCATCTTTGAACGTCCTCCCCGCAGACTCAACAGAATAGTAGACAAAGATCAGAACATGTCATCATGTCCCAGACAATTTAAGAAATTGAACTGACAAATTATTAATGGAGAGTTAGGTACCTGTTTGGCGACGAATTCTGGGTAATTGTCCTGGAGCAACTGAAGAACTTGACGGAGTTCTTTCTTGAAGGGGGAGGGGGAAAATTTGAGATCGATGATTTGAACGATGGTGGAGATCCCATCGGGGCTGAAATCGAGCTTTCTGATGCTCTTTTCCAGGAACTGGATTCTACATCGAAGGAAATCCGTGTGCTTCTCTTCGTCGGAGAAGGTTGCTTGGTATAATTCCTTGTTTTGATACTCGTCGTATGCGTTGTAGCAGACTGGGTGGCCGTCTTTATCGACATCGTGCATGTAAACCACCTTCTCTTGCTCTGTTCCCAGATCTTCATCGAGTAGTGATTCGATCCCGAAGATTGATCTTCAACTGGTGATGAAGATTGATCCTACACCGGTGTTGAAGATTGATAGGTTCAGTCGTAGGCCGTATATAAAAGGGGGGATTAGGTTAAAATCAATGTAACTAGCAAAATTATAGGGAGTATTTGCGGAAGTTATTTATCAAATTACCTAGTTACCCTTAATGATTTATTTAATTATTGTTTTTTCTTTTAAATTTTGATTGGCCCATATTTATGCATACAATAACACAATAATTAGTTTAAACACCTGAACCTAGCTCTCTCTCTCTCTCTCTCTATATATATATATATATATATATATATATATATATATATATTCACAGACATTCTCAAATAAAAATATATTTAAAAATTTACACACAAAAAAAAAATGGTTTTCAGTTCAATTCTGTCAAGTTTCAAGTTTATTTCTATAAATGTGTTGTTATAACAAACATAAATGAAAAGGAAATGCCATTGGCGCTTGTTTATAGTATTTTTTAAAACTTCTTTCTTCTCCAATTTCTCCATCCATAATCCATATCTCCATGATAGTGTATGAGACCCTAAAACCCAACTTCTGAGTTGTGATTCATCTCTCCCAAATCCAAAGTCCAAACAGCTTGCTTAATTAACCATGGAGCTTAGACCCGCTGTCTTCATCCTAACCCTACCATTTCTATCCACCATTGCTCAATCAGTCCGTTTCCAGATTGAATCAGGTGTGACAAAATGCATACACGATGAACTCAAAATCAATTCTATGACAGTCGCTGAGTACTCCGTTGTTAATCCAAACGAAGGACATCCCTTGCCTGAACATCACAAGATCAGTGTCGCGGTAAATTTCAAAGAACCTCCGAGTTTTAATTTCGTCCTTCTGCAACCTCGTTTGATATTTTGATATCCATAATTCAACTTCTCCTAAATTATTTATTGCTATTGCATCGGATTCGCTTCCTTTTGAACTCTGATTTCAATTCGGATTCAAAAATCAAAACCCCTGTCGTATCGTAATCCCTAACCATTCGTTTGAAGCTTGGTGAATTAGGTTTTGCTTTTTCTCATGATTGATTTAGAGATGTGTTGACGATTTACATTTACAAGTGTTGTTTGCAAATGCAGCTGTTTACAGAAAAGGAAAAGCGACTTCATCATGCTGAATTAGTAGAATCAGGACATTTCACGTTTCATGTTGAAGAAAATGGGAAGCATCTGCTTTGCTTTTTGACCGACGCTCACGAGCCGATTCTAAACACGACTGTGGAGTTAAATTGGAGGTCTGGGGTTGCTGCTACAGGTTGGTCTAATGTCGCCAAGAAAGAGACTGTAGATGTAAGTATCGTTTCCTTTCTAAAAATACATTTTTATTCTATGAGATTGACTCATTTATACAAAATTTGGAACATGTATTACGTATATAGATTGATTGGATATAATGATCGGTTTTGTTTAATGAACAGACGATGGAATTAGAGCTGAAGAAAATGGAGGACACAATTTCTGTGATTATGGAGGAGATGTTTGACCTTCGAGACAGGTTGGTTAATAAGATGTTTGGTTGTAAACATATTGCAAGATGCCTTCATAATCCATCAAATCATGCAAAACATTTTTTATTAGGGATAATGACTTGAAAGGGTAACAAACTTTCGATTTTGTTCATATTTAGTCACTAAACTTTTTTTCATTCTCTATTTGCAACTGAACTATTGAAACTGTTCACATTTTATAAGGGTAAACAACCGGTTATAAGGGTAAAATGTGAACAGCTTCAATAGTTCGGTGGCAAATAGATAATGAAAAAAAAGTTTAGTGACTAAATGTGAATAAAGTCGAAAGTTCGTTTCCCTCTAAAAAAAATTCAATCACTAAATGTAAACAAACTTGCTTTTGTATTATGTTTTAGCAAATTATTTATTTTTGTTAAATTCTAGCAACATTTGTTGATAAAGAAATCTATGAAATAAAAAAACAAAACTCCAAAAAATATATTAAAAAAACCGAAAAACCGAAACTGAAATAAAAAAACCAATGGTTTGGTATTTTTCAAAATAAAAAATCAAAATTTCCAATTTGATTTTGGTTTAACAAAAAAATGAACCATTCTCACCCATAGCTATTAAGAAATTGTGTTTCATTGTCAGAAATTACGTTGTATTCTAAAGAAAAAAAATTAAAAACCTTATTTTGTTTAAAATAGTTATTTAAATATGAATTTTTTTTCTAAAACCTTTTAAAATTATGAGTGACTTTTTTGAAAGAAAACAAAATAGCGCTGTTTTAATTGTTGAATATATAGCTATTTTTTTCTTAAAAAAATATTTTTGTAAAGGTAATATGGATGGGGTGGTTTGGGCGCAACACTTCATAAAACATGTTAACGGTTTTACTTAACTCTATATGTCTACTTAAATAATCATAAATTTCAATAATTATCAAACTTTTTAAGAAATACAATCTCAAAATAAATCAATTGTCCGGATAAATTAAAAATGTCTAAATTCTAAACAACTTAACTTTCATTTTCGATATCATTTTTAATAGTAAATATACTAATATGATGTATGTCAATACATGAAGTATAACAATATATATAATGTATCAATGTATGTATGTATATTTTTTATAAACAATGTATATGGTTTAATGTATGTCAATTTATATGTTGCATAATTTTATAACATAAAATTCATACAAATAATATTAGGATAATTTTTATAGATATAATATTGCATAATTTTATAACATAAAACTCATACATATAATGTTGGTTTCGTTTTTCGTTTTTTATACCTTTTTCGGGGGGTTTTTTTTTCATAGATTTTTCATCAACAAATGTTGTTAAAATTTAACAAAAATACATAATTTGCTAAACTATAATACAAGAGGAAAGTTTGTTTACATTTAGTTATTGAACTTTTTGAGAGGGAAACGAACTTTCAATTTTGTTCACATTTAGTCACTAAAGTTTTTTTTCATTTCTATTTGTCATTGAACTATTGAAACTGTTTATATTTTACCCTTATGACCGGTTGTTACCGGTCATAAGGGTAAAATGTGAACAATTTCAATAGTTCAATGGCAAATAGAGAATGAAAAAAAGTTTAGTGACTAAATAAGAACAAAATCGAAAGTTTGTTACCCTTTCAAGTCATTATCCCTTTTTATTAACCGTTTGATGTAGCAAATTACACATTTATTATTATACAAGATTTAAAATTTTAAATGTAATAAACTTGCCACTTTTTTTTACATAATATTTTTATTATTTTATGTAACATTTATGTAAAATGATAAAAACAAATTGGGGATATCTCCAGAAAAGTCTCAATATTGGGCAATTTTTTAATAAAGTCCTAAATTTTACTTTTTTAAATAAAAAAGTCCTGACTTTTTCACATTTTGAATAGAAAAACCCAAGAAACCGGCTAATTTATTCACTTTAGCCCCTTTTGACCTGTTCAGCAGGTCATGGGACCAAATTGTTAATTTTTCGAAAATAATTAGACTTTTTTGCAGATTTCGTCAAAAATTTTATATAATGTATAAACATATATTTTACATATCTATATCTATTTTTACGTATTTGTGTATTTATTTATGTTTTTATATGTATATATTTACGTATTTTTATGTATTTTAAATGTATAAACGTATTTTTTTACTTATTTATATGTATTTTTAACCATTTTACATATTTTATGTATTTTTATGTGTTATTTTTTATTTATTATATTTATGTATTTCTATGTATTTTTACGTATTTATGTATTTTTTAAAGCTTTTTATATAGATGTTTATGTATTTTAAATGTATAAACGTATTTTTGACGTATTTATATCTATTTTTAAGTATTTTACATATTTTTTTATGTATTACGTATTTATGTATTTTTTTAAGTGTTTTATTTAGATGTTTTTGTAAATTTATGTATTTTAAATGTATAGACGTATTGTTTTACGTATTTATTATATATTTTTAAGTATTTTAATATTTTTGTGGTTTTTATGTGTTTTATGTATTATGTATTTATATGTATTTTTGCGTATTATGTATTTTTTTGTTTTCTTATACGATGTTTATGTATTTTATGAATTAAATGTTTAATTGTATTATTTTTATGTGTTTATATATTTTTTACGTAAATATAACACAATTAAACATGTAATATACATAAAATACAGAAACATCTATATAAGAAAACTAAAAAAATACATAAATACGCACAAATATATATAAATACATAATACATAAAAAAACACATAAAAACACACAAAAGATATGTAAAATACTTTAAAAAAATACTATATAGTACGTAAAAATATACGTTTATACTTTAAATAAATAAATATACAAAACATCTATCTATTTAAAAACTTTAAAAAAATACATAAATACGTAATACATAAAAAATATGTAAAATACTTAAAAATCGATATAAATACGTAAAAAACGTTTATACACTTAAAATACATAAACATCTATATAAAAAGCTTAAAAAAATACATAAATACGTAAAAATATATAAAAATACATATAAATACATAGTACATAAAAAATAACACATAAAAATACATAAAAATATGTAAAATGGTTAAAAATACATATAAATAAGTAAACATATACGTTTATACATTTAAAATACATAAAAATACGTAAATATATACATATAAAAACATAAAAAATACGTAAAAATAGATATAGATATGTAAAAAATATGTTTATACATTACATAAAAATTTTGACGAAATTTGCAAAAAAGTCCAATTATTTTCGAAAAATTAACAATTTTGTTCCATGACCTGCTGAACATGTCAAAAAGGGCTAAAGTGAATAAATTAGCCGGTTTCTTGAGCTTTTCTATTCAAAAGGTAAAAAAGTCAGGATTTTTTTATTTAAAAAATAAAATTTAGGACTTTATTAAAAATTTACCTAAAATATTGTGACTTTTCTGGAGATATCTCAAACAAAATGTAACTATATTAAATTAAATGCTTAGAAGAAATATGTTTTATCCTTTTTATAACCGCCCCTAATAAAAATAGAGTAAAAGTAAGATATTTTTGTACGATTACAATTAAAATATTGGTGGAATGAAAATATGCCAATTCACTTAAAAAAAATATATATATATTTCACTTTAATATTTAGTATACAATGTATCTATTTTAAATAATTATGAACGTGATTGGCAACGAGTTTTTATAAACTTTTAACTTTTATTTTTAACAAAAACTTGAATTAACAAAATGAAAACTCCGTTTAAAAAAGAGAGCTTAAACCTTTATTTTAGACAAAAAAAAAAAAAAACTCACAATCCACATAACCCATAAATAGTTCTTGAGAAAATAAGAAAATATATATGCAGGTTTTGAATGGTCTTCTGTAAATTTATATCATTTTGAATAAGATTTATCTTCAACAGCGATGTGGCTAAGCATTCACAAGGTAGGTCTAGGACCTACCTTTTTTATTTTTCAATACAACAAACATATATAGAAAAAATTTAGGATCTACCTTATTTTTGCTAAAATACTTACACTTTCATAGTTTTTTCAGTTTCATTTAAATAAGGAACCACGTTGTTTTTGGTTCTAGATTCGCCACTGATCTTTAACGTGATTGGATGCATAATTATATGCTTTAAACATCCATTTATAAAATAGAATTGATAGTGTAGTGATATTTTTGTAACGAAATATTATCAAAATATGTTATAATATTACATTATAGAATTTGAAGTGAAACTCATGATACATACATGTGTTGTACGATTTTGACAGAGAAGAAGATATGCAAGAGTTAATGAGGCATACAAACTCGATAATGGGTTATTTGGGTTTGGTTTCGTTGTTTATTTGCTTGTCTGTGGCGGGAATACAAGTATGGCATCTTAAGTCATTTTTCGAGAAAAAGAAGATTATTTGATTGTTCTACTCTTGTCATCATGTCGTGTCATGGGTGTAAAGTTGAATTAAACATATATAAATTTATGAAAAACAATCCAAATACGATGTGACTCAATGTGACTCAGTTCTATAAGTTTCATTCGCTTATATATAAACATATTCCTTTTCAAGTTTGAAAATCTATTACACGGGTCATTACACCACTTATTATTTCAATGCAAAGTGAAGTGTCACGTTAATAGGTCTTAGGATCTTTATCGAAAAATGTCACAAAAATATGATCTACCCCCGATACAAACGTTGGAGTTTAATACAACTAAATTTATAGGTTAGAGGAAGTGGTGTCATACTTGTCATACTATTTTTGTTACCATGTAGGAGCCACTTTATTTTTGTAACATAACAATAACTTCTTACCATTTAAAGAAGATAGGTTACTATGGCATTTTCATATTTATTTTTTTAGTTATTGAAAAGAGAAAAATATGAACAAATATTGTTTTTGGACTTTTACTCTCATATGTAGGCATTGCCACCAGAGGTTGCCAAACACCCCATGTTGAAGCCAAAGGGTGGTGTGTGTGCCGAACACACCTCAACAATTGTCGAGGTGTTGTTGCACCACTTTCCGTAGCCTTATCCATACATTTTAGCATTAAATACATAATAAAAATTTATTGGTTCCTATTTTATTATACATTATAATCTATATATTGTCTATGAAAAATTAGTTATTCACTTGTGTTGTGATATTCTAAAACCCTTACATGATATCAATCTAAACTCAATCCTCCTATAAATTACAAAATTTCACTAATAACATGAACCAAATATATCAATCTAAACTCAATCCTCCTATAAAGTACACAACTTCACTTAACCAAATAGCTCCTTTCTAATGGTATCCACACTGGAGCATAGTAGCCACTTATAATTTGAGTATTAGGGTGTAGCCATTAGCTATGTTTAACCAATAACTAAATATTGATTAAACATAATGAATCAAACAAGATATAAACATGTATATTACCCTGAAATTACATCTTAGGCCGAAGGGTGTCATGTCATTGTTCTATCATTGACAAAGACTCTCCACTTTATTTTACTATTATCTTTGCTACATACCAGGTGTGATGTAGGTGTGATGTAGAGAGAGAGAGAGAGAGAGAGAGAGAGAGAGAGAGTTTCTACTTGAAGAGGGCGGAACCACACCCCCAAACTATAGACCAGACGTAGTGTTTGTCACGATTGAGGTGGCAAATCGTAACATTTACCATACCCACACCCTTCGACCTTATATGCCAACTTTGTTAGTGATTACCATTAACAGTGTATACAATTTATTTTGTCCAAAGCAAGTCTTTCCATTATTAGATTGACATTATAAGTTATGAATTTTAAACGGAAATAAAAAATGCAAACCTTTTTTCTCTATTTTGGCATTTTTTATTAATATTTGATTCAATTAACCTTAAAATCAATACAATTGTCGGCTTTAAGATTTCGGGTGTTTTTCAACACATCGACAAAGTCTGTGGTATGAAGATTTCGGGTGTTTTTCAACACATCGACAAAGTCTGTGGTATGATTAACAAAATCTGAAATCTATTGACCACAATAAAAATTAAATGAAAATTAGGTGGACTTGTTTAGTATTAAATATTATTTTCATATAGAAACAAATTAGGTAAATAATTAAATTCAATAAACAAGAGCATTAATGAGAAGGAAATGCCATTGACGTTTTTCTCATTTCAAAATTTTCATAATCCCTACATTCTAATTCGTCTTCCCCAAAATCCAAACAGAGCTCGCTCAACAATGGAGCTTGGGCTCGCCATCTTCATCCTAGCTTTAGCATTTCTATCCACCATTGCTCATTCAATCCGTTTCGAGCTCGAATCGGGTCACACAAAATGCATAGGAGAGGACATCAAAATCAATTCCATGACAGTCGGTCAGTACTCCATTGTTAATCCAAATGAAGGACATCCATTGCCTGAACATCACAAGATCACTGTCAGGGTAAATCCGAAAACAACTTTCCATTTTTAATTCCATGAATCCGTAACTGAAATTTTGTTTAATCGTTATTATCTGCATGAGATGAATACATCTTTTGATCTCTATCATGTTATACGAAATCTTCATTTTGCAAATTGAGTTGGGGTTTTTTTGAATTTTCGTAATCCAGTTGTTTTCCGGGAGCGGAAACCGCCAGCACTATGCGGAAGCGGTAGAATCAGGAGAATTCGCGCTTCGCGTTGTTGAAGATGGCGATCATTTAGTTTGCTTTTCCGCCATTGATCACCAACCGGCCGTTAACATCTCTGTGGAATTCAATTGGGGATCCGGTGTGGCTGCTAAAGGTTGGTCTAATGTCGCGAAGAAAGGTTCAGTAGATGTAAGTATCTAATTTTTCGTCCATAGTCATAGAAACAGTTGCAATTATATACATACTTAGCTTCGATACATGATAGATCTTCTTGTATGCGCTTCAATTTGCAGGCGATGCAATTAGAACTAAAGAAAATTGAGGACATGGTTGCTGGGATTCATGAGGAGATGTTGTATCTTCGGAAAAGGTTAATTAGTTGATGAAAATGGTTATACGAATGAATTGTGTATGTATAAACTGTAATGTGGGTATTGTATGGTGTGATTGTTACAGAGAACGAGAAATGGAAAAGCTAAACAGGAAGACGAACACTAAACTGGGTTCGTTCAGTTTGGTTTCGTTGTTTATGTGTTTGTCTGTTGCAGGATTGCAGCTATGGCACTTGAAGACGTTTTTTGAAAAGAAGAAGATTATTTGATTTTTTTTAAAATAAAATATTTTAAGAATGTTGGGTTCGGGTATCATGTATGGGTTTTGTTCACAACATGGCTGAAAGTTTAAAGAACAAATATATAAAACTTAGATGGCATTATGGCGTATTTTGTCGGGTACATAAAGCCTCGTTTGTTTTTCTACAAAAATACTTTTTGAGCATTTTTCCTTTCTGGCGGGTAGACGTTTCTCAAATTCACGTCTTCTTCCGCAAACATGAAAAAAGACAAAAAACATTTAACCACTTCCAAAACAAACAACACCTTAGTCATCAAAGTTTTTTATCTGAATTACCATTAAACTCTCTTAATTCTAGGGATGAGCATTAAGCGGGTACCCGCCTCATTTGGCGAGAACCGGAACCGGAACCGGAACTGGCGGTTCCTAGAAAGTTAGAACCGGAACCGGAACCGCTCTAGGCAGTTCTTAAATGTTTGGAACCAGTCCCGGAACCGGCGGTTCCGGTTCCGGGAGCGGATAACCCGGTTACATTAATTTTGTTATCTTTTGTCGATAAAACCGCAATTTAGTTCGATCCAAATCATATCAATTCGGACCAAAGACGGACAAAATCAGACCAGTATATTCTAAACCAGTCTAAGTAACACACATATTTATATGAAATAATATATATATATATATATATATATATATATATATATATATATATATATATATATATATATATATATAAACCGGTTACGGCGGGTACCCAGAGGGTAGCGGTTCCGAAAAAACGAGAACTGGAACCGGAACCGCTTAAGGCGGTTCCATAACTTTAGGAACCGGAACCGGAACCACTTAAGGCGGTTCCAGTTCCAAAACCTGCAGTTTCGAGGTGGTTCCAGTTCCAAAAGCGGGTACCCGGTTCCGATGCTCATCCCTACTTAATTCTGTCAAAAATATATCATTGTGTTCGGGTATTGAAAGTTTAGTTGGTTTGTGGTGACTCTGACATCTCTAGTCATTTTTTTTGGCCAAAATCAATTTTCCGGTAAACTGACAAAGAATATCTATATTTCGATTTTTTGGTTGAGCACGTTTCTATATTTCTTGAACTTGCATTGTTTCCGGACCCAAAAACATATTTTTCGATAGGATGGTTCCTTCCTACTTTCATCATATTTGTTCTTGATGAAACCTTCAACTTGGCATCAGAATACAATCAAAACCATCCTAAAAAGGAAATCAAAAAGGGCAACACCTTGCATGTTTCTTCTTTTTTTTTTTAAAATTTATGAAGCAAATCTAATCTACTTTTAATCTAACACCTAATTTCATCTATGTCCACGACAGGGCTTAGACCCTCGACCTCAAAGAGGAAAACAACATCAGATACCATTGGGCTAGAAACCTTCTGGTAACATCTTGCATGTACCACACAAAACCGATTTTGTTTTAAGTTAATTTACAGAATTGCTAATCATCTCCAAAACATGTTGCATCTAGTTTTTGAAAATTAATGTAAAAAAACTATTGCATCAATTAAAAACCTTCTGAAATCAATTTGACTTTGAAACACAAATATCAAGCTTCAAAAACTTGATCTTCTGATCCTGATAAACTCATCGGAAAAGTCATGTTGGCCGGAGAAGATGACCAAAGATATCGTTGGAGGTGCCTTGGTTGCTGGAGACATCATCAAAAAATGGTTTTACTTGTAATGGTCAGTAATATTGATGTATTTAAAACAAAAGGGTTAAGCTTATTAGTGACTAACAAATTGTTGGCTTCGATTTATTTGGTCATCCGTAAAACAAATTTAATGTGGATTCCTCACATGGTGCATATGTACATATTTTATATTATGTGTTTATTGTAACATCATGTTTCGAAAAGTTTCTTATTTCGGGATTGTGGACAAGAAATGGATCGAGTAAAGGCATTGGGCTTCAAAGGAATAATGTTTAGACCTTATTGGATGTTGATAATATTGGTTATGTAATTTAAGCCCTTGGTTTGTGTTTTGGAGCCAAAGGGTAAAATGTGAAAAGATATATGTTAGGCTTTTTGCATGGATTATGGTTTTTAGTTCGACATGTGTTAAGCCAAAATTAACTAGATAGAAGTGTGGGGTTCGTCAATAACTTTTTTGGATATAAAGATCATCGGAAATAGAGTTGAAACGGAGAATTTATGGGTGTTTGAAGTTAGGGTGGATTTGGGTGAAAATCGTCTCCATGACACTGCGAGAATTGCAACGGCACAACAGTCGCCACGACACGAAGAAGCATGGCCACGACACGACGATCTATCAAGCCCAAGCCCATGATTTTTAGGGTTTTCAACGTATTTAAACATAAGGTTCTGACTTTTTGGCCATTTTATCAGCTTCCATCACATCCAGACCCTATTGGGAGAAACCCTAGCCTCTAATTTCAAGATTTAAGCTTCTCCTCTCTCCTCTCTCCACTTTTGGGTGCTTTTTATGCTATTTTGATGAAGTTTAAAGATCAATAAGGTTCTTTTGGTTGTAAGGAATGATGCTTCAAGTTTGGATCCATCAAAGACACTACATTTCTAGACTATTGTAAGTATAAAGTTCCAATCTTGCTACCTAGTTCTTTAGATCGTGCCATTTGAGGTTTTTGGCACTTTTGGCCCATTTTATGGGTGATCTTGGAGTTGAGTGGATTCCAACATCTTTTGATTAGTTTAGAATGATTCATGGACCTCATGGACTAGGAAAGTTGTGATCTTTTTCCTTCCCTTATAACCATGAAAGTTATCTTGGTCCTTTAGGTCATTTTGGTGTATTAAAGTTTAGATCTTGATAGATTTTGACATTATTATGGATAAAGTTGTAAAATTTATCCATCTAGACATCTTAATTGATTCAGATCTGAAAGTGGGAGACTTGGATTTAATTGATTAAGTCATTTTGGGTCCCTTTGAGACTTAAAGTCTACATCTTCGGGGTTTGGACCTTCCTAATGGATAAAGTTAGAAACTTTATCCATTATGACCTTGGAAAGGATCAGATCTGAGCTTTGGAGCTTTTGAAATCGAAAGAAAATGGATTAAGCTCGTTTGAGCTGTTTAGACCAGTCCCCATGGCGTGGCCTTAGGTTGCCATATCATGGCAACTAGGGAATCATGGATTGTTTTTGCATTTTATGTCCACGACGTGGCCAAGGAAGGCCACGACGTGGAAGGCTGCTGTTGGCAATTTTGACCTTAGCTTTGACCATTGACTTTTTGACCAGTTTGAGTTTTGGTTAAACTTGGGTAGAGTTGAGTATTAGTTAAAGATTGGCCTTAGTTTGGCTTTAGGAAGCTTGGGTTGGTTGTTCTGTTGTTGAGGTAGCTGTTGGGCTTCTGTTGAAATAGTTTAGGTGAGTCTCTTCACTGTACTCGTGGGTCGAAAGCAACAATGCCGGCCCACTTGATTACGTTATGTAGGATGCTAGATGTCTTTGTGACTCTTACATGTATGTTTGGGTTGAAATACACCCCATGATTGGGCCTAATATTGTAAGTTTGGATTGAAATGTACCTCAAGGTTGGGCCTATTGATATGTATTGGGTTGAAATATACCTGAGGGTTGAGTTCACTGATGTGTATTGGGTGGAAGCATACCCTAGGGCTTGGCCCACTGGTTTTTATGATATGTGGTATTTTGGGGAACTTGCTAAGCTTTGTGCTTTCGATTTATGTTTAAAATGATTTTAGGTACTTCTGGTTTCAAAAGGAAGGGTTCAACTTGATCGCACTGCATCCCCTAGAGATTTATTCTGTAATGATTGTTTATGATTTTACTCTGATGTTTTGAGAATATATTTACTCTGACCGTCTTTTAGGATAATGAATGAATGGTTCTGACTTATTTGAAATGAAATTTTCACTCGGTATTTTTGGGACGTTACATTTACAACATTGTTGATCGTTTTAAAATATACTACAATTTACATATTTTAGGGTGACGTTGTTGCATCCGTACAACGTACCCCCCAAGGATCAGGATCAAGAGCCCTCACAGAATGATGAAGTGTATTTTCATATTATGTGTTTACAACAATCTTGACCATTTAATAGTTACCAACTACCAACTCATTACTTGTTCAAGTGACATGACGGTAGACCTATATAGCAGGGTACCAGACATGTAGGTATTATACCTTTTATAGTTAGGTTTAAACCTTCTGAGGCACCCTCACCCATCGTCATGGAGATGCCTCGGTCAGCTTTCTAGACCCTACCATTACACATGAGGTGTATGAAAAACAAAATAACCCCTTAATTTGGTTGAGGTCTCCCAAGGTGCAGATGAGGAAGAAATTGTTGGGTTATGAGCATTACATCATTCCTATGGTGTACATGCAACCCTAATTGCTAGGGATGTCAAAAAGTCCCGTGGGACCCCGTTCCCGTGGGGGCCCCGTCCCGTTTGGGGGAACTATTTTTAAAAAACCTGGGGGCGGGGGCAAGGTTAACCCCCATTTTAATTTTGGGGGCGGGGGCGGGGGTAGGCAATCCCGTCCCGAAACCCCCTTGGGGACCCCGTTAATAAATTACACATATATTTACATATATTAATTATATAAATATAATAAACAATAACATGATTTTGAGCTTCCAAAATTCATCAAAAAAAACATGTTTTTAAGTTGTTAGTATAATGTTTTTAAGATACCATAACTTTTTTATTTGTAACATGTAAAATTCTGTTATAAATAGTTATTTGTTGCCTAAAAAATAGTTTCTTTTAGCCTAAATAACAACTTCTTTTAGCCCAAAAAAGGCAGCCCAAAATCAACCGGGGGCGGGGGAAAGGGGCGGGGGTAATAAAGGGGATTCGGGGGCGGGGGCGGGGGATGAACTCCCCGTCCCATTTGCCCTCGTTGACATCCCTACTAATTGCTTTGATCTAGGTTTTCTACTATGAACACAACAACATTGAATACCAAATCATAAACCCTAGATCTAACATGCTATTATCGAAATTGACATAAGATTAGGGTTAGAAACTTTACCTTGATTGTTATGTAGCAATAACAATCACAATCCTTCTAGATCTTGACTTCCGAAAGCTTAGTGCCTGAAGTGTTGCACCTCTA